TAACGTAACTAACTAACGTAACGTAAAAACGTAAAAAAAAAAAAAAAAAAAAAAAACGAAACGAGAGACCTGACCTTGAAAAACTAAATTTCTTTTGCATATTGCACAGATATATATATATTCTAAAAGATCTGCAAAAGACAAATATTAAATATATCATACACAGTGTGACTTGTTTCACAAATATTAAATTATTCTTTTACAGGAAGCAAGACGTCATAAACATCATAAGGTCCCGGCGCAGCTTTCGGTACAAGTCCCCGTCTCCACCGTTCCTGTCTCTCCCAATGCTCCCGCCATCTCATATTCATCCCCCAATGTTCAATATTATTCATATCCTTCGACAGATACCGTTCCAGCCTCGTACAACTCGTACAACTCGTACAACTCTCCTAACACTTACGAAAACTCTTACACTTATCCCTATCCTAATTCTTATGCCTATCCTAATACCTATTCCAATTCTTATTCATATCCCTCTGAAACACCACTGATCACCGTGAATGCGAGTGGACCACTTTATCGCGAATCGCAACACACAGACAATGGGCAGGAAATGCCGACGACTGACAAACCAAAAGAGGCTTCAACATCTTCAAATTCTGAGGACAATATCAATAAAAAACGAGAGACTGACCTCACACAATTGAACACAGCCACACAGGAGCAAAACGCGAAGGAACAGAACACCTTGAAAGCGATTCAAATATAGAAGTAGAACGGCCCCTCAAACCCTCAAAGGCGTAAATATGTCTCAACAATTTGTTTACGTCTAAATGAGTAATTTAACGCCGGTGCGTCTCATTTGAATATCTATTATTTCATTATTTATTTAGCTCAACGCGATTAAAATATTATAAAATGCTTAATAATTTTTATAATTTTTCTACGTAAATATTGTTAGTCTATAAGAACATGTGGGATCCTTTTTTATATCAATAAATGCTATTTTTCAATTGCAAATCAGATGTAATTTCAAATACTCACCGTTTTGAGTTCTGCACTCCCATTTCTGTGATTTTCCTGTCTTTTTCTCCGCAGCTTCCTTTCACCATGAGATGTATTTACACACGCGATTTGTTTTCCGATCATACGCTTAAAAATTTTCGTAATTGATGGATTCCAGGTTAAGCAATAATTTTTCGAAACGTCTTAAATAGTTTCAACGGACAAGTTCATGTTGTTAATTGAAGAATTTGCCCTGAAAAATATTCCTTGTGATAATTAAATTCAGCATATGTGGATTAAAAAAGGAAAACTTAATTTTACAATTTATATTTATCTACTACAATTTTATATAAAGTTTTTAAATGTCAAAAACATTAATTTTGTAATTCTTATTAATGTTTACGATAGATTAAATAATCTAGACTCTTTAATACAAATGCAATATATAAATAAACTGATATCTTTAAAGTTAAAAAGTAATTAAAAAATAATCTTCTTTCTTAACATCGTTATCAAAGTACCTGGAGTTTATGGATGAAATTATTCCTTCCAAATTCGTTCCTATTTGTTGAAAACACCATTTACTTGTTACTGGACACATTAGCATTATGGCAATGGCGCTTATTGTCAGAGGACCAAGCAACGTCCAGATTAACTGTAACAAAAAATAGTTATAATTAATTACATATTAATCGAAAATATTTTAAATATGTACATGAAATATCCAAGACACAAATAGCCATCCAATCAATACTGCCGCAGTTGTCGTCAAATACGCAGTATATTCTGGAGGGAGAATGTGCAGCAAACGGGAAATCTTGTCATTCAAATCAATCAGCGCAGTCCTTAGCTACATCATTAAAAACAGTTAATACATAGAGCATAATTGTTACAACAAATTTAACTGAGAAAAACTTACATCCATTCCTTCTTCAATAAATTTCCAGAAAAAGAATAATTTCAATTTGAGTAAAAAATGTTCTAACGCATAAAATGTTATATTCTGATATAAAATAATTCTCCTAAAACATGACTACAAATAAGAATAAATTTTATCAAATAATGTGGTGCAATTTCACAATTAATCGCGCTGATTGATAATAAACTGACTACTTCGCCGCGTCTGCTTATTATTATTTATATACGGTGTACCTATTGAAATAATTCCCCTTTGTAAAAACTATAGAAAGATTTCATCTTTCGAGATTGTTATACGATTTATTCTTCAGTATAAAATATATTTTATATTCATATAAATTGCTTGTATATATAAAAAATTATATAAATATCTTCTTTTCTGATTATCAGTAAGCTGTTTTTATTAGTCATTCACAGTCATTTATGTTTTTGCATGAACTTGATTTTTTCATCAAATCATCATCCTGTGATTCTTCTTGCAATGGTTCGATGATTCTCTCATTTGTCGATGATGCAGTAGCATGTTCGTCTTCCGAGTGCTGAATGTATTTTGGTATTTCTTCAAGGACGGTTCTTTTGTACGGCAGGAATGAAGTTTGCATGTTAAGCTGAACCGGAGAGATCTCCAGTAACGGCTCTTGCTGAGAAATCACTTCCTGTTGATCGCATTTAACAAGTGTATACAGTTTGCGAAATGCCGAAGATGTCATTCTTGCCGTGAGGATTGTCAGAAGCTGTACAAGACCATGTGTTCAAAATTAACTAACCACGGGGCTACTTAGCCCTGGTCTTGATTACATATTAACTTGTTTAATATTTAACAATGCTTTTAATAGAATTGTCTATAATAAATTAATAATAGATTTATTTATAATAAAATTCTTAGATTCTTAAAATAAAGACAAAAACTTTGAGAAAAAAAAGATGTTAAAGAAAATTTAATTAATAAAAGGTTAAAACGCTTTCTAACTATATACTCACAATGATTAAATTTGCCGATTGCCGCAGTAAAAATATAACGGTGGGATATATTAGAATAACTGTTACTTCCATCAAACGTGAAACGGCAGCAACAGAGAACAAGACACCGGATAACATTAATAGGATTATAAGTTGAAAAAGTCCAATCAACGCCTGCAAAAAAAAACATCTTGATCGGATTAAAAAATACAAAAATATTTTAGAATTTTAAATTATGTATATAATTGTAAAATATAGGACTTGTCTAATTTTTTTACCTTTTTAAGAGTATTAACTTTATCAATTCTTAAATACAAATTATAAATCTTACGCTCTAGTAAAAAATTCTCAAAAGTATTCTTACACAAAGGATCCACATCGTTTATGTCTTTTGTATCATTAAAAACAATTTGAATTCCTCTCAATTGCAGATCTTTGCAATTTTGTCCATCAAAGTTCGGATGTTCCACAGATTCCATTCATTTTAATTTGACAAATTCCATTTCTTGGTTCAATTGCACGCAATGATGAAAAAATTGCAGCTCTTTGAGAAGCGATAGGATTTGACGATATAAGAATCATATGATAATGCTTTGACTAAGATTTTAACAACCAACTTCACATACATTGCGTTCTTAGTGTGTAAAAAAATTAAGATATAAATTAATAATTTTGCAAAAATTGAAACTTGTAAGAATCTGTGGGATTTAGCTTTTATGGCACGTAAAAAAATTTTTTTATAAAATTTTTATATTTATAATTTTTTTAAATATAAACTATATCCTAACGAATAGTGCGAGATCTGTCGAAAACAAATATTAACAAAATATAGATTCTATTCGCTTTATCTCCCAATTATGTAGCTGGATTCTGTCGGCAGAATACAAGCTTAATATGAGCAACATAAATGATATCTGATCTACTTCAATATTCTGATTAAAAATCTGCTGACAATTTGCAAGCATACAGCAAGCATAATATTTCGCTTACTGATTACTACTATTAAATGATATAGAATATCATTTAATTCAATAAACTTTTTATTCTAAAATTAAATATAATTAAATAACAGTGTAATTCCTTTTATATGCCTCTTTCTAAATATCCTCAAATTCTTTCTTTTTTTGAGATATTTTAAGATATTTCGAGATATAATTAATGTCTATTGGCAGCTTGCCGTAGTTTTTCTTCCTGAAACAAAATTATAACGTTTATATTAGTAAAAGAAAAATATTATATATACGTATATAAACAATTTATGATTCAATGCTTTGATATATCTATAAAACTGATTAAAATGTAACTCACTTCATTAACTTCCTTATCAAAAATCTCTTGGCATGAAGAAAGAAGAGCTGTAGTTTCCTTCTCTATTTTCGAAATGTCTGCATGTAATTCATTCTTCTCCAGGCATTTTTCATTATAGCAAATTTTGGCAGCATTTAATTTGATTTTCTGTGCCTTTTTCTCACTATAATAATATCAAATTTTAATTTAACATTTCAAAGTATTATCAAAGTATTTAATATTGAAACTTAAAGACAACAAATGTAAAAGAGAAAGAAAAAATCAAACAAAAAACAAACTATTTCAACAAAAAACTCAATTTAAAACTTATGCAATATTACCTCAATAGTTGTTTGTGCAAATTGAGCAATGGAACCAAATCTTTCTCTTGATGCGACTGCAGTTTATTTGTTTCAGTGTCCACTTGATCTTTATGCTCTGCTAATTTAGTTTGCAATATGGATAGCATATTGTTCGATGAATCAATTTCCTTTTCAATATCATTTGATTTAGTTTTCTTGTTTCTGCAAAATATTATAATACATGTCTTTATTATCAATAATTTCTAAAATATATGTAATAATTTAGTGAAAAATAAAAAATAAAATAAAAAGGTGAAAATAAAAACATACTTTAGCTCTTTATATACATCTTGCAATAAAAGCAATTCCTTTTTCATTTTTTGTGTGAAATTTAATATCTCTTCTACTTTTTCTATGGACTGTTTTTTTTCCTGAATAGCTTCCTGCATTGCATTGCGTTCTTCTTCCTTTAGATTTTTTTGTGTCTCGAGTTTATTTAAATTAGAATGATACTCTTCTGGTGAATGTACAATCTCTGATTGTAATTCAAGTATCATCTTGTTCAACTAAAAATTGTATATTGACAATTTATCAAATTTGTTATTTAGCAACAAAAGAAAATATCACATGTACTATGAAAAATTAAAGATTAAATAAATAAAGACATTTACCTGCTCTGTTTCTGTCTTAAGAGAGTTATAATGTTCTTTAACTTTCTGATTTTTCTTTTCAACATCATTTTGAATTATTTCAAGTTCTAAGTTCTTCTTACTAAGTTTCTCTGACTTCATATATTGTATGTCACTCTTGAGCTAATAGAAAAATATGTATAAATGTATTATTGCATGTCGTAGTAATAAAGTTAAAAAAATAGATATATATATTTTAATAGAAATTTACCTTCTCTATCAAAGATAACTTTTTTCCTTTCTGCAAAGCCTTATAAGAAATAGACTCCAAAACTTGATCTTTTCTTTCTCTTAATTCTTTTACTAGCTTAGATGAAGCTTGAATTTCTTCCATCTTATCATTAAATTCTGATTTTTTAAGCATTGTATATAACACAAAATTGGAAAGATATTTTGCTTGTTTTTTAAGCCGTTTTTGTCCTGTGGAATTTATTTATGGCATTAATAACATTATTCTAACATAATAAACTTCTCAAAAAGTTCTAAGCTAAAATTAATACCAGGACTGGTGATGTCAGTAAGACAAAAATTATGTAGAAATATTTTATCAAGTACTTGTGTCAGAACTGTATACAAATTTATCAGATTTATGAAATCAGAATCCTCATAATATGTCATAACATCAAGTTGCTCTGGAATTGGCTGCAAAATTTTATTATAAATAAAAAATAATAAATGAAATGTATAACAACTCTCAATTTCATGTTATTCCAAATTATTCTCATATATATATATATAATATACATATATATATATATATATAATATACATAAGTATAATTTATATAACATACAAGTCCTTCCTATAGTTTTACCTGATCAATTAAGTTCATATCAATTGAAAATTTTGACAAGAACTCTGTCAACAAATTTAGAATATAATCTTCTGTTGGATCTTTGAGGTCTTCAATAGTTGATGGCAGTGCTGCATCCAATAAAAGACAGTGAATCTTAAACAAGTCCATGATGATCGATGAAATGTTACCTATAAATAAATAAATATTAATAAAAAATAATAAATTGTAGCAAAATAGAAGAAAACATACTTTTAATATACTAAAATAAATATAAGAAAGATCAGTAGCAAAATTTTTCTTCATCAGAGAGAGAGAGAGTTTGAATAAAATTGCACAGTTCAGAGTAGATAAAACTTGTCTTCAATCTAAAACTTACTGTCTACTATTAGAAAATGGATTTAATTTCTTATTCTGCCTTATGTGCACCAAATATATGTAAATTCTTCACTGATATATCTCAGGATCTTTCGACCACAATCTCGATCGTAATAAGGTTGTAATTTGTAACTGTTGTAACCGTTGTAACACTTCGAAATTATTTAAATCTAGTAACTTCAGTTTTTTATTATTATATTCCATTTCCATGAATTGCTTTAGACCGGATCTACAATAGATGTAGTGAGCTTTAAGCCGTAAGAAATTGTCCAATCACAGACGAATGTGTGAAGAATAATTAGGTCTGTTCTTTATAGCTGAACTAGCTGCACTAGTTCAGAGTTTATCTTTTTCCTTCCAATGTGGAGAAAAAAAGATAAACTGAACTAATGCAGCCAGTTCAGCTATAAAGAACAAACCTATTGACTACGACTACCTATTGTAGATCCGGCCTTAAAACTGTGAAATCTAAAATGTTCCTAGTATAAAAAATTGTGTTTAGAACTATTTTAAGCATTTAAGGTTGCATTGCCTGACGTTGGATTCTGCCGCATGGCGGTCGTGACGTCATTATAGTTTGCGTTACGATACTTGTGCCACGTATTTTTGCAATTTAAGTATTCTTCAAAGTAGTGCAATCGACAAATGGTTTAATGTTTTTTATCTATACACCTCTGGTGACCTAAGAAGCTCTCAGCAAATATGGGATCATCTCACAGCGTGGAAATACCGGGAGGCGGTACAGAAGGTTATCATGTATTGAGGGTAAGGTGACCTGTCAATATTATTTGGAACAGTATCTGACCATTCCGAATATCATCCTCTTTAAAAAACATTTGCATAAAAGTGTTGGAAGAAAAAATAATGAAACTTAATGTTGTGTGCCATTATAGATATTATGCATTCATATAAATTTAGATTAATTCTCTGCACGACTTTTCGATCTGTCTGCAAAAGTTGACATATTGACTGTTAGAAATATATTACTCATAGTACATTTTTTATTTTAATATTTATGACATTGATTTTTTACATTAAATATCTTGTCTTATTAATGACTAATGATGAATAAAATTTATTTGAAAATGAATAATAAATTAAGTTGTCATTTGTTCGCTCTTTTGTTATCAAAAAATCCATAAAAATTTAGAGATAAAGTATGTAAATATAAGGATATCTTATATATTCGAGTTCTTATATAGCCATGATTTTATTATGTAAGTATATGTGATTACCAATGTAAAAATTGGAAAATAAGAAAACGAAATTTTATTCTGACACATGCTGGAAATATGTATTTATTTTACATAATACAAAATGATAATTTATTTTTGTTTGGAAACAGGTTCAAGAAGGCTCTCCTGGACAACAAGCAGGGCTTGAAGCCTTTTTCGATTTTATTGTGGCAATTGGGAGTACTCGTCTGGTATGTTTACTCAGTTCTTATTGATAAAAAATATTTTTTATATACTTATATATTACAGCTATTTTAAATATTGTACATTTCTCTCAGGACCAAGATAATGATACCTTGAAAGAACTTTTGAAAGCTGGTGTAAATAAAGAATTAATTATCACGGTATACAGTAGCAAAACACAATCTGTAAGAAGGACAAAGATTGTACCAAGTGTGACATGGGGTGGACAAGGACTGCTAGGTGTTAGTATACGTTTCTGTTCGTTTGAAGGAGCCAATGAAAATGTCTGGCATGTACTCGTGAGTATAGATTTTAAATTTTATGTCATTTTTATGTATTAATAGAACATTATTTAACAAGAGAAATGCTGATGCTCGAATTCACAGGAAGTTCATCCATCGTCTCCTGCAGAATTAGCTGGTTTACGACCGTTTACTGATTACATTATCGGAGCAGATTCCATTCTTCACGAAAGCGAGGACTTATTCACTTTAATAGAAGCGCATGAGGCACGGCCTTTAAAATTGTATGTATATAACACTAAGGATGACTCCTGCAGAGAAGTGACTATCACACCTAATAATACTTGGGGCGGAGAAGGAAGGTACATGATTTTCCACAAGATATTTCAAATCAAATAATTGTTAAAAACTACAACACAATGTTCATGAATATTAAATTCTCATATACAGCTTAGGATGTGGAATTGGATATGGGTATCTACACAGAATACCAGTTAGAAGTGTGCCGGAGCATAAACCTGTTAATTCATATGCAGTAAGATGTTATATTATTTACATAATATTTTGACTTTAATATATGTAGATAATCTGAAAACAGAAATATATATATAATTAACAAAGTTAGACAGTAGGTTATGAAAATAGATCTAAAAAGTTTTAGAACTTTGTAAGTGTAAATTTTATATTAAATACTTTCATTTCAGAATACTACTGTTGTGCAAACAGTTATGCAAACTCAACCGGCAACGACAGTGAGTGTTACTACCACTGCAGAAGAGACTAAACCGATTATCAGTGCACCTCCTGCATTACCTATTCAGCCGAGTTACACCGTTGCGATTGACAGCTCCACAAAAAATGTGAATAATGAACAAGAAGGTATTTCAACTCAAAACATATCAGGACCAAGCACGCAAGTGCAGGCAGCGAGTCAGGTCAACTTTGCTAGCACTGCTGGTGGCTACGCACCAATCAATACAGCTCCTCATATGTTTTCGAATCAGCCTACCACCAATTTCACATCTGGTAAATACAATTAGACATTTTTTTTATTTCTAACTATTCAAAACTTATTTATCTACTTAATTATTTAGGCACTTATCAAGTGACTCCAAGCATTCCTGGTATGCCAACCATCCCCCTGATACCAACAACATTATCAACGAATATCACCAACCCTTATGAAGCTGCAACAGCACCGCTTGGATCAATCAATTTCCCAGGACAACAGAGGGAGCAGAATCCTCTCCACGGCGTGACTGCGATAAATGTGCCAGGATTGCAGAAAGAACAAAATCCAATACACGGCGTGACTGCAATTAATGTCCCAATGCAGAGAGAGCAGAATCCTGTCCATAGTGCAACCGTGGCTACTGGATTTAACGTGCCTCAGTCTCACATTGTGACGACACCTATCTCACTGCCGGGACTACCACCTATCACAGTCAGCGCCTCTTTGCCGAACCCTTCCTTCTACCCATCTGTTCTTCCAGAACAAAATCAATTACCACCTGGTATTAATACTACCACTGTCGCTCCGACGTTACCGTCATCAACGACCACGCAGTAACAAGCGTGTGCTTTTAAAATTAAATAAATGGGAGAATGATTTTCACTTTAATAAAAAGTATATTTATAAGTGTGCTGGTGATACGAAATCGGATTATATGGTCCGTTTTAAACTCACAATCCGATAAGACTAAGTTTTATGTCTTTAATAAACATTAAGAATGTGATGCACATAGCAAATTTTTTTAATGTGTACTAAAGAGGATATTGATGATGTATTATTGTACATAAATAAAATGCAAGATCCTAATTATATTACATTGTAGCATAAAAATTATTTTTTGTTTTTATTCTACAAGTATGTTACACATGTATTATTTAATTTTATGTATATCTATAATTTTTTAACCATGTTGTGTACATGTAATAAATATGTAATGGCACACATATTTATCAAATAACAATACAGAAACTTTTATTTCAACACATTTTAATTAAAGATTGTAAGAGCCAAAGAATGTCATGATTGTAAATTCAACCTTCAAATTAAAAAGATTTCAATCGCAAAAACAGTATTTATTATATATTACCCTCAATTATAACAAGTACTAAATCCATACAGATGGACAGTGACGACACTTTAAGTTCAGAGTTCTCAGGATTGTCGATACACTCTTTAAATAATGATCTCTGTATCACCCAACTCCTCGTCGGTTGGCAGAATTATTTTAGACGGATCAATTAGATTGGGATCAATGAGAGGAAGTCCATTTTCCTCTCTATGGCGAAGCCGCAGGTATGCTTCTCGTTGCGCCCAATCCTTGCCTCTGACATCAGGCAGATAAGCAAACACGGTGCTTCCAAGCACAATGACTATAGTTACAACGACAAACATTGTCTGATGTAAGGAGTGACGATCCAATGCCTCGTCTTCGTTGTCAAAACCATAACTAACCCATTTTCTCTTGACAGGTTGCGTTTGCTCTTTACTATTGTCGTAACATCGTGGTGTCGTTGTTATCCTGCGATATACCGTCGTCTCCTTGGGTGTCATTAGAGCTAACCCCCTACGCAGACCTTGCGCGCAATTCATACGAAATAACGCTGCCATCGTCAATTGTATGTTTATATTCTTGCTGCGAGTGACAACTGTCACGGAAAATACGTGCAAATTCCAATGCCAAATGTATTATGTGAGCCGTGTGTGCCGATCAAAGGAATTAGATAATATCTCTTCAAATATATTCGTACGAATACACATATAGCTATATTTTTGTGTTATATATCGTTTTCATGAACCAATTGTAATACTCTGTGAATCGTCTCTGGTTATAAAGGATTCATACTACAGTCTTTATTCGCATAGCCTATCAGTTGTCTGAAAAATCTACTAGTCGTGCATTAAACGCAGGCAATTTGAATGTGGCATAAAAATCAAAATTGTCCAACAGAAATGACCAGAAGCGATCATCTAAAGCCCGTAATTAGACTACGCATTGAAGATTGAAGATTGAAATTTGACCAATCAAAACAAAAGGAGTCTTTATCCTGATTAGTCAAATTTCAATCCTCAATATTTAATTTCAATCTTCAATGTGTAGTCTGATACAGGCATTAAGCCCCTTACACAATGCCAGGCAACAGGCAATAAGAACAGGAAATAACATACAAGAGAAAGAGAGAAAAGCTATTTCTCTCTTTTTCTTTCTTACATTATTCTCTATTCTTATTGCCTGTTGCCTGGCATTGTGTAAGGGGCTTTAGACTTGGTAGAAAAAAGACGCAAACATATGTCCGCTCGCTTCTACAAATTGAAAGCCGAGTGCACACGGACACGTGACGTCAGCGGGTTTCGGTTGTGTGCGTATGAAGGTTTCCAGGGAAAACTGGCAGTGCTGGCGTCTGAAATCTGGCGTCACTGTCATCTAATATAATGTAATAAGTTTATGGTCGATTGAGCTGTTGTATGGCGGCTCTCGCACGAACGGACGATAGGGTTGTTGAATAGCGTCATCGTGATCGCGGTACCTCGTCGAGAGCGCGATATTTATGTGTCACCGAGGTCGCCGGCGGATACCAAACGTTTAATCACATCTATTGAAGTAGCACAGCAAAGTCAAGTGAGTAACTGCTTTCGTGGATGTAGCGATCGCCGTCATCGCTGCCGCCGAGAGTGACCCGCGCGTAATTTCGCGCTGATAACCACAAACTGAAGTACGCTAGATCGATCGACGAATTCGAGGGAGACCTCGGCTGCGGCGAACAATCTACGGCAATGCGCACGAATGTGCAAATAAGCGCTGATCGTAAAGGATTGATGTGCGTGATTAACGTGCAATCCCGATGATACGAATCGTCATTTAATAGATTAAAGTACATTTCTCCGCCAATTAGTATTTGATCGCATCGCGTGAAATTAATATGGAGGCAATTTATGTGTGTGTGTGTGTGTATATGTATTGTACGTACATATACACATATATTAATGCCTCAAATTTAAAATAAACACAAAACTTGTCACTGCAAGTATTATGTTTTATGTAAAATATGTTAGTAGAGAGAGAGAAGAATAAGATCTATGTATTAGTAGATTATATGTGAAAATGTTAATGCACAAACAGTTTATTTATTAAACTGTTTATTAACATTTTCATTATGAACAATTGATTACATGTTGTAATCTAATAAATGAGTGTATAAATTAAGTGTGCATAATTATAACAATTTAATTACATTATTTCTTAGGCATGAGGCGCAAGAGCGAAAGGAACAAAGCTAAAGGATCTCCTGAGAAAAAAGTTGAGAAACCGACAAGGAAATCGACACGTAGGCGTGGCAGAAGATCGCCTTCTACTTCATCTGAACAAGATACTTTCGTCGAGGATGCTAAGAGTGCCATTCAAGTCAAAGAGATCGAACAAAAAGAGACAAGCATGCAGACGCGCCTGCAGAGCAAAGAATTGGAGCAGACATCACAAGGACGTGAGGAGAAAATATACCCTAGTGAGATAGACATAAAAGTGGATTCACCGGAAGACGAGGAGGACAACGGCGGCTCCGTGTGGAAAGTGGCGAGGGCGGATGCGTCGCCCGGCGAAATACAGAAGCTGAAACTATGTAGGCAGCGCAACACGTCAGAAGCATCATCAGACACAGCACCGTCGAGTAGGAAAACTGTCAAGTCAAGTGGCAAGTGGCAAGAAAGTGGTGAGGGCATTGCAGAGGAGGCTGACTCGGCAGATGAGCAACTGGTTTCTTGTACAAGAACGCTCAGTAGCGCTGAACAGCCGAACGATCCCTCCTCTTCATACCCAGGTCAGGACTCCAACGAAGAGGTAAGTGATAGCAAGGAGATCCTGCCTGAAACCACTTCAGCCAACTTGTTGTCTGACGATAAACCAAACATAGATCAGCATGGTGAATCAAATGAGGCAAATTGCGCTGCCCAAATCGTTGATAGCGAACCTGGTAAGCCGGGTAGCACGACAGCCGCATCATCTCCTAGCCCAAATGGTGATGATACTTGCGAGAAGACTGCCACCGCTGTCACGGAAGTTAAGGAAGAAAAATCTGCAGAAGACATCATCGAAAAGCCAACGGAAACGGAATTTAGCAAAGAGACTAGTGTAGAAAACGTAGCTAATAGAGATACGAGTAGCGAGGATGAGGACGATAAAGTGAAAACGCATCGTCCGGCGGATTCGTCATCCGAATCGAATGACGAGTCTCGTCTTAAAAGTAGCAGAGCAAGTAGCGACCAAGCGTCGCCACGCACGATTCGTAGGAAACCTCGTAGTAAATACAGAGACTCGTCTAATTCAGAGACACCAGATTCCGAGGATGAACCTATTGAAAGAAAAGTAGTCTCTGAGCCTTACGCCGAAGAGGAGGAAGAGGAGAAACAAAGTACGGAATGTTCGCAAGAGAATAAGGAACAATCGGCGTCACCGGAAAGAACCAACTCTCACTCGAACAATGTAGAAAAAGTGGAGATCGAGCAATGCGAAACTGTTCCGGATAAATCGGAGGAAAGTACGAATGAAAAGTCGGAACAGATTGCACCGGTCAGCACCCAGACGGTCGTTCACAAACCTGTTAAAGTCAATTTGAAGAGATCATTGTAAGCACAAATATCCTTCTACAATGATTATCTACTCGACGAAGTAATTTTAGTTGAAAAAATTGTGAAGTTTAGATAACAGATATTACTGCAAGTTTTCAATGTATCGTTATTTTCAGGATACTTTTTAGAATTAATATAAATATAATTGAGTTAGAAAATCAATATTATACGAGACAAGACTATATATAATTCAAAACTATATATATAATTCAGTTACAATAATTTCTATTTATTTTTCAGCTCGGCAAGAATATTATCTGAAAAAAATGAAGTGAAAAGAGACGATGCCGATGCAAGTGTTGATAATGAATCTAGTAATCAAAATAAGGTATAACAATTTAATATTTTATCGATATTTAGAAGGATATTGGATTTTTCAGTGTTATATTTTAATGATGCGTGTTTAAGGAAAATGGCAGTGAACAAGAACCAAAATGTGTGCCAAGGAAACGTCGATGGGGAACGGCACTTTCTACAGATACAACGCCTTCATTCTCTATCTCAACTGATTCACTCAAGGTAACTTTATTCTGCTACGCATCTCTCTTCACATATTCTTCAAAAACTTACTAAAAATAATGTTTATAGGCCTTGGTACCAGGTGCAAAGCCATTATCTATCAATGAAGTTCGTCTTTCGAAAGACGACGACGAGGATAGAGATCGTCATAGGAGTAACGACAAGCGGCACAATTCCAACGATAGTACAAACGATAGTAAGGTGACGGAGGAAAACTTGCAGAAGAATGGTGCTGCTAAAAAGGGAAATGCAAAAGTGGATAATCACCTCGGTAAGCGTATTCGTCAATTATTTGTAAATAAAGTCAGCAAATATTTACTTAATCATTGAATATAATATTCGGATTTTATTTTTACGCAGCAACGAGGCGAAAGATATCGATCGTGAAGGAAGTAGCACATGTAAAATCGCCGAGTCCACCAGCGTCTAAACCTACTAATATCCTCTTAATCAAGAATCTGGTTCGCCCCTTCACGCTAAATCAGATTAAAGAGCTTCTTTCGCGTACCGGCACCATCGTGGAAAACGGATTCTGGATGGATCGAATTAAGTCCAAATGCATCGTCGAGGTACGATTGTATCGAATAATTTATAAACAGTAACATGAGTTATTCAGAGTGTTTATGATTTTTCCGTTATTACAGTATTCCAACGAGGACCAGGCCTTCGAGACGAGACAAGCGCTTCACGGGATCTCCTGGCCGATGTCAAATCCGAAGAAGCTTCACGTAGAGTACGCCACAAGCGAGGATATGGAAACTGCTCGGGAATCATCCAAGGAACAACCGATTGCTCGCAAAGCTGAGCTACTATCATCGTCGGATGCATGGCAGCAGGATTGGGTTCGCGATGAAAAGACTAATACAACCAAAGTAAGAATCTTTATAGTACGATCTTGCTCGTGACATTCCTTAAACCACCGCACAGTAGGCCAGAAGTTTAAACAAAATGAGACTAAAACAAGACATTTCTGTTTGAGTAATAAGAAATCTTTTTTTTATATAATTGCCAAAAAATTTTAATATTATTTAAGTGCAATAAAATATTCTAAATGTTGCTCTAATGTCTATTTTATAAATAAATAGCCAAAAATTTGTTTGAACCTTGGTTCGATTCTGGCTCACTCGATGGTTCCTGATTAATTTAACGTGACATGCACTAGGTAACCGTGGTGAGAGAGTGGGACTTGGGCAAGGAGGACGGTCCGCAGCACATCAGGGAGAAAGAGCGCGACAAGAAGGAGCAGGACAAGAAGCGACGAGCGAGGAGTCGGAGCCCAACGTTGGACGCGCACCTATCGGCACCAGCTCGTAAGTTCAAGAAGAAGGAGGACGATCCGCCGCCGGCTAAGCTCCTGGACGATCTCTTCAGAAAGACGAAGGCAACACCTTGCATATACTGGTTGCCACTTACAAATGAGCAGGTAAACTCAGATCATTTGAAAGTTTAGCGATGAATAAATATATAAATTTGTTAATTTCTTCATTCTGAGATATTTATCAAAGTCGTATAAGTACAATAAGATATTTAACTTTCGCAAAATCTAACTTACACATTATTTTATTGTGCAACTATTCGTTTTATCGATTGATTTATCGACATTAACGATGAACATTTTTACGTGTTGCAGATAGTAGTAAAGGAAGAGATGCGGCGACAACACATGGCGGAACATGCGCGTAGGTTAGAAGAGATGAGACGTGCCGACCGAAATAGGGACGGCCGACGTCGGCGCAGTCCAAGAAAATAGAGAGCAACGTATTTTCTGCAAATGTATCTTTCCTTCTCTGACCTGACCCTAACCTTGAATTTGGCTTTAGTCAACTCACTTCGTCCTATCAGTTCTGCATCCTACTTTTTTCCCACTACATATTTATTGCGGATACGTTGTTTTGCTTTCTTTTTTTGTATCTGAATTGGTCGACAACATCCAATAGGTCAATATATTTCAATATTCTTCAATATTTAAATATTCTTTATACAACTTAAACTTACCTTCTTTCGATAAAAGTGAAGACATCAATTTCGAATATTTGGTTCGCAATAGTTTCCGTCGTAGTTTTTTTCTCTCTCAATTCTATCCTTATTTTCTTCCTTCATTCTCCTTATTTCGATTTCGATTGCATCAATTGATGTACAGCTATCCAGAGTTCCTTCAATTCCTAGTTTCCTGTCCCCGTGTATCAGGATTAAACCATGCTTCTTACAGGTCAACGTTTATCTATCCCACAGAGAGCCAATAACTGTAGATCTGGCGCATAGTGGTACTGTGTTTACCTCGACTCACGGCAGATGATACCAATTCGCATTCTCTACGCCATAATGAAACAACATGTGACAATGAGAGACAAAAAGCGTGCTCGCAGCATCCGCACGAAACTTTTACGACGTGGGAAACTCCTCTTTGAAGAAAATAGACAAGACACATTGTTGGATGTGGAATAATCAGGCACTCATGACTCGAGTAATGTTCGTTCTTTTGCTTTTTTTTTGGTTTTCTTTTTATTAACTCGACTCTGACAAGTCTGCACGAATGGATCTGGATGTTATCAAATTACGACGTTATCTGAGTGGAAAATACTATTGTCCGAAATATAGAAGAGTATCATCGTGAAAACATTGTATTGAACGTTGATAGACAAAAAAAATGGAACTTTATTTCTGCGTTAAGTATTCTTCGTAGTGTACTTTGACTTCCTTGAGCACGACGCTCCTAATCTTTGGAAGCATTGCGTTAATTTTTGTGACCCGTGCGATAGCGCAGGGCGAAGACACGTATGTAAATAACCGATATTCCATGGTGTGTCATGTAAAATTATTAATAAATATAAAACAAAAAAAAGAACACGATGTTAAGACATACAAAGTACATTTACCGCTTACTTTTTACGATACATCGATTGGAGAATTTGTTATTCACTTGTAGCCGAAAGATCGAGAGCATGTGATAAACAAATACATTTATGCTTAAAACAAAGAACCGTCTACATTGTTATTTAATTTGTTGCGTTTTCTTGAATTTTTTGATGAATTAATAATAAAACACTACGCGAAATAACACACACATATGTTCCGTAGCATCGTTTAAAATTATTACAAACTTGATATATAAACTTATTCGATAATTTTATTTATATCAATAATAACATTATCAACGCGCTAACATTAGATACTTTAATTTACAAAATCTGAATATAGAATGTGTGCATGTTGACTATTAAATACATCACGATTACGAATACTATTCGGTAATAGTTTGAAAAGAAAAAGAGAACAAAGGAACAAGAGACATAAAACTCAATGGGTAAGTTAGTTCTCAATTTGTACATTTTTATTATTTGTGTAGTGTGATTCAGCTGTTTATAGCTTGATAATTTGAAAAATATGATATAATGCGCATTCCGTAATTAGATTCGAATTACGCGGTGCATTAATGGATATACGATGCGTCTACATTCAACGATCAAATTTTTCTATAATATTTAAAACCTATCTTTTTTAAATAATTCATTTATGTAATAAAAAAAAAGAAACAATGATTCGTAATCCTTATGAATACGGACGCACCGGACATGTCATTAATACTTACGATTGTACTTCTATACCATCGTGATTAATATTTTGTTACCTTTTATTATAAAGAAATTCTCTCTTGATATCCTGGTATCATGGTAAATGTAGAAATGAACAGTGAGTAGTATGGCCCAGAATCGAATTTCACATTACACATCAAAGATTTAATCAAAATCCTAGACGTGTTGTGGCTGTATGCCGCATAAATATCCTTTCGACGTAGGCCAAGCATTTCGGAATTCATAAAATAAAACAAAATGCTTAGACATTACTTTTCACGGATATCTAAAACATACATCATCAACATTCATGATATATGTTAGACGCTTATTCGAAAATACTTCTGAAGAATGTCTGATAGTCGACAACGATACCCGATATTGCCCTCTGAAAGTTGTGAACTTTTCGCGTTAAATAAATGACTACAATTTTTTATTATTATTATATGACAATATTCGCGCAACCATGTTATACATGGTAATATATTATGACAATAATAATGCGAAGAGTCGTTTACACATCATTATTGTTCCCTCTTTGCTTTTTGTTTTTAACGCGGGTTCACATAACATCGACTATCGCTCATTCTTGTTGCGATCAGTTTCATTCATTACACCACACTCATTGTACAGGCTCATTGTTCTCGTCACCAGTTTTATTTAATCAACCTTCACAACACTATAAATCTTACGCACAAACCAAAAACAGGCGAAGAAACCAATGGAACCTAAAATCAAATAATAAATTTGCTTTTTTTTCTTTTCTAAATATTACAGTGTTTAAAACGAATGAGTAACGAATAAAGCTCTCACCTGTCAGAAGGAAGAATAAGTAAACCATGATAAACGTATATCCGAAATATAGGAACGTAGAAGTGGCGCCTTCAATGTCTAATTTAGTTATGAAGAAGTGTATACAATAAATTAACAAGTAGGCAGCAGTAAAGCCTGACGTGAGAAAACTGCGCCACCACCAGTGGTAATCCTGCAAAGAATTTTGTCAACATTATGATTTTCGATAAAAGTTTTCTAATTTCGTACGATATATACTCGCCTCCGCACAAAGATGGAAATAACAGAGTAGAATCGTCGTTTCGGAACATGTGATGACGAGTATAAGAAAAACCAAAAAAAGAAATCCAAACATGTAGTACACTTGGCTTGACCTGATGAAAAAAATGACATGTAAGAATGTTGTAGTTTATCGGATGTTTATTGATAAAAATATTTCTGTCTAATACGTACCAAAGGGAATTAAGTATGAAGAATAATTGTATAAATATGCAACCGAACGGCAAGACACCGCCCATGATGACTCCAGGTATTGGCTGCGTGTAGAAATTTTGCTCCGGTATTTGTCGTGGTATCTGATTCGTTCGCACCGGATGCTCCAAAGCCTACGATATTATCATATCAATTATTTGCAGACACCGCGATAACACTAATCGATAATTACCCTTTTCTTAAAACCAAAATAGGCGCCGATAAAGGTCAACGGTACAGACACTCCAAGCCACAGTGCCAGAAGCGCAATCAGAGTACTGAAAGGTACTGCGGCTGAGCTTCCATTCACCCAGAATATTAAGTTCATTATGAAGAATAAACTGAATACGATTCTGAAAAGAAAAAAAATATTTACAATAAATTTACGTTGAAGCATAATCAAACACATACTTTATTTTAACTAAAATAACGTTAATTTATACCCAGGACTGAGCATGGATGTGAGTAGTACGTTGGACTTCCATTTCTCTCCGCCGAAACTCTTATATATCCGAGCAGCAACGTATCCCGCAGTTGTTCCCAGACAAACGTACAACACCATCGCACAAGTCATCAGCGCGCCTCTATTAGCAGGCGAAAGAAAACCCAGGCAGGCAAATGCTGCAATATTTATTATAATATTTATAATTTATTGTTTGAGGAAAGAGAAAGAGAAGAATCTCAGGATTAATCTTGAATTTGGTTAATGTTATAAATGGGATTTACCTAACGTAACCAACACCATGAAAAACACTTGAACACCGGATCCAAGCAAAACTGAAAGCAACATTCCTTTACGCGGAGGGCGGAATACATCGCCGTGTACCAATTTCCATCCAAATTCCTCTTGTGCATCCTCTCCTGATTCTATCTGGAAGTAGGCCTGCGTTATCGCAACACAGAAAAAATGGATATCATAATCTTGTGAAAGTGAAGAAAACATTCGGTTACCTTCACCTTTTCATGAGATATGTTATATTGTTGCGTAAAAGCTCAATCTCGCGCGAGCAAGAGAATCAATTTTGCTTTATTCATCGTTCCTTAGTATAGAGTTAATGTATGGCATGCTTCAAAATTCGATGCTTAAATTATTAAATGTTAAAGGGATGTATTTCTATGAAATCCAATATTTGGAAAGATTAAGATTTATTTAAGTCTTATTCAGTAACCAATTTCTTTATCATGAAAACCTCCGAAAAACATCAATTTAGCATACTCAAATCTTTTACAATTTTCTTAAATTTTATTCGAAGATTTTCAATATCTTTATATCAGATCAAATTTTAAATAAAAATAGGGTAATGCATTTTTAAATTTATGTTCTTTTGATATTGTTCAAATTAGTTATTAGTGTAATAAAATTATCAGAAAAATTCCTAACAATTTAATTAGTTATATATTTGCCTTGTAATAAAATAATTATGAAATGTATGAAAGAATGTGCAGAACACCAATGAAAAGTATTATTAAGTAAAACTATTTTTTTAGTTTATACAAGAATGCAGAAAATTTCATGCAGTTATTAAATTATATAGTATAATAGATAATTTAGTATGATAAATACCTGATTATATCGCGCGATGTCTTTGTGCAGAGTGCGAAGCATTATCATGGCCACCATGCCAGAGAGAAACAGAACAATAATCAGCGAATTAAGAATACTAAACCATTGAATATTCGTGTGCGGCATCGATTCTAAGATGTAATCCCATCTTGATGACCATTTGATTGTGTTATTTTTCTAAAAATTAATAATGAATTTTTGAAGTATAACAATAAATAATTAATTCTTTGATTATATTAAGAGATTTCTAATATTTATAAAAACTCACCACAAATTTCACGGAATACGTATACCTCACTTGGAGCGTTTGTCCGGATGCGAGCTCATTGGCTGGTATTTCTAATGGTGTCTGATTTTCACAATCTGAATCTTTCAGAGCTGTACCGGTATGTTTAATACTATGAGGCACTACTTTCACAGCTATAAAATAGATATATATATATAATAAATAATTATTTAAAATTAAAATTAATAAAATCTAGCTCTTCTATTAAATCAAATAATAAAGAGAGTAAAAAGGGCTAGAGTCAACACAAAATCTTTGTACTAGTAAATCTTTCTTAATATATTAATGTACAATTTATTAACATAGAACCCTTTTTACTCTTTAGATTATTTAAATTGCAAAATTACATGCTGGTGGATCAATAATTTACTTGTAGAAATACTTACATATGATACGACCACCGTTTTCTTTAAAAGATGTTCCCCATTCTTCTGTGGCACCACTGTGGTAAGTTATAGTGAGATTCACATGATTGAATAAGTAATAAGTTTTCGGTTTGTTATATGGAGGACCCTGTGAACACATGTAAAAAGATATTCATTAAATAAACTCAACTTAATATTTTCATAATTTTTAAATAACTTGATAGTTCATCTTGTATATTTACATGTATAGTACAAGTGTCTTGCTGAGATCTAGAGTCCTTGGAATAACAACCCATGGGGAAGCCAGTGCTACAATACTGTCGCTCATCTTCCAGCTGATAACACCATGTTACCGGCATATTATCTAAAAGACAATAGAATATTATTAGAACCATTAAGTTATTAACCATAATACTAACAATATAATTGCAGAACGAATTTTTTAAAACTGTTTACAATTTTTTTACAAAAATTTCCTAATTTAAATGCTTTTTGACACTTTACCAACAATCCAGTGATGTTGATAATTGACTGCTATTCCTTTCCTTAATAATTGCAACCTCTTCTCAGCCATCTCATCACCTCCTGTATATTGTTTTGTGCAAGCTTCAACACATTTGACATCTTTCAAGAATTCCAACTAAAAATGTGATAATTTATATTTTATTTCTCTTTCTTTTAGAATCTAAATTTAAATATAAAATTATCTCGAATTTTATTGCTCTTACTTTGTATGGAGACGGACGTATCCGTTCTCCAAACACAACTTGTCCCAAATTCTCAACTGGAGATTGTCCATCTTCCACTGTGCAGAAGTCAAAACTAGATTGAAGACATTCATAAAATATTAAAAATTGTTACAGAAATTATATATATTAAATAACTGTTATATAAGAATTAAATATTAATATTACTTACTGACTATATTCATATGGTATGACATATTTCTCTGTGTTTAGTCGGTTCACATATAACTTGACATCAGACTAAAACATAATTAAATAGTTTCCTATAACACATATATCAATAATAAGACTTAATATTATTATGTCAGGTCATATAATCTTGCTAATATTGATAATATAAAATTGAATGTATCTCTTTCTATATCATGCAAAAGAAAAAGTCATAATCTCTTAGTAATAATATATCTCTTTATGATGATTTTAAAAAGTATTAAATTATGATAAATAAAATAAATATATTATCAATAAAATATAATTAAAAAATTATCTATCTAATCTAATATTGCATAAATTATACATATATACATATTAGAAAAGTATAATGTAATCATGAAGAGATAAGACACTTGTATAACTTTTATATATATATATACAATATATATAGCAATGAATTCATAAACGGATTTCCGAAATAGAAAAAGATATAAAGCATAGTGAGATAGCTGTAGAAAAAATATATAAGATAGCGGATAGATATGTATAAAAAATAAGTAACAAAGAGGTATCCACTGTGTGCAAAATACACAATGTGCGGAATACACAAGATCCGTCAATCATAACCAATCGGTCGTCTTTCACAATGTTTGCGCGGCATACCTTGCACGTTGACGTAGTCTCGCCGGTTTTGCAGTAATTGACGGGTGCCAGGCCGGGCAAATAGAACGCCGAGGCACCGTACAGTACACAGAGAACAGTATAAAAGACTGCCGTCGCAGTCGTCGCCGTTCCCATCGCCGTCGCAATCACGGTCACTGCGTCACCTTAAAGTGTCCGTTTTTTCGTTCGCGTTTTTTTGCGTAAAATATTTCCTTCTACATAAAAGCGTGTAATCGCATTATACGTCATATACGTTGTGAGTATTTCGTGCACAAAACGTCGTTGCGAGCAAACGAGTATCACATCTCAACCGCTGCCATGACACGTCATGAAGTGCGCGACGACGAGTGTCTGGTGACTAATAATCACCCCGGCCCTCTACCTCCCTCTAATGCGACGATTTCATGTTTGAATTTCGCGCTTATTTGCGGTCGCAAGATGTACGATGTATATCTAAAAACATTTTATTAATTAAATATCGAAATATTGTATGTGCATCGTGAATTTTTCATTACTTTGAGTTTTACATTTATCTTTACATTTAATTTTTCACGTATATTAATGTCAATCTGTCAAACAGCTTGAGGCATAAAATACGAATATCTAGATACGATGCGCCTGCTCCAACTTGTTAATCTGCTGCAATTCATGTGACAGAGCGTCTTGCTTCCATGTGTACGTAAACTAATGTTTTCAATTTGTCCAACTGAAAAAAATCCAGAAATAGAGAATTTTTATAGACGCTAATATCACAGTCTTATACTGTACACTTTAAAGAAAGAAACCAGAAAGATAAACAGTGCAATTATGCAAATTGTTCTTTCACGATAAATTACGATCCTCGAATTCTTCTATTATGCATGAGTGTATTTCAACAATGTATCCTACTGCGGTGATACGGTGACATTAACGGCGTCGGTACGTTGAAGTTGCGACGGTGCGCGTAAATGTAAATAGACAGCAAAATCTTGCATCGTCCGTGCAGCGGCGATGTTCGTGATCGCGTACACTTTCTAACGACATATTCTTTCGCATCCAATTATACCATGATGGGAATATTGTACGAAAAAAGGCCGTTGAAAAGGCCGAGACTCGGTCCTCCTGACGTTTATCCTCAGGAACCGAAGCAAAAGGAGGATGAGCTTTCGCTTACGAATGTCAAGCACGGCTTTACCACTATACCTCAGCTGGCAGACGAATTTGGAACGGCTAGAAGTTCCAACGTCACCGCTGCCAAGGTTGGTGCATACTTTAATGCGATTCTTGCCAAGAAAGAGGAGCTCGCGACGATGCCTGACACTGGTAGGAAGAGACAGCAGATTAATCCTAAAGACAATTTCTGGCCGGTGACAGCAAGGACAAAGAATGGCATTGAAGCATGGTTTAAAGATCTCTCCGGTAGCAAGCCACTGGTTGCTCTTGCAAAGAAAGCTCCAAACTTTAACAAAAAGGAAGAGATATTTATGATGCTCTGTGAATATCAAGTGCCAATGCTGAGAGCAGCTTGGTTTATCAAGCTTAGTTCAGCTTATACAGTTGCTGTCTCAGAAGCTAAAATAAAAAAGCGTCAGCTACCTGATCCAACCACAGGTGAGATGTAACTCTATTTTATGCATTATTATAAAGTATAGCCATCCTTGTCTTTATTAAATTTTCCATCTTAATTATGATACAAATAGTAACATATTTTTGTTAAACTTGAGATTGTATTGTACATCATGTAATTAAAACTTGTATAATATTTTTGTTTAATTTAAAGGATATCAAATATGATTGTTTTTGTCCTCGTTCTTTAGAATGGACAGGCACTCTCATAAAATTCCTGAAAGATCAGTTGTCCAAACTGCAAGAATACTATCATATGGGCAATCAGACAGTCAATACCAGCAACAATAATAGTACAACAAACAATTCTTCCAATAGTAATGGAACTGCTGGGACAAATAACAGTAGCAGTAACAACAGTAGTAATAATAATAACAATGTTAATACTAATAATACGAGCAATAGTAATGGTTCTGCTAATAATCAACCACCTACACCTACTTCAAGCAGTCAGCCTGCAACAGGCAGTACGATGAATGAGGAACATAAATTAGCGCTTAAACAATGGCACTATTGCGTACAGTTGGCTAAATACATGTTTGAGGAGGGATTGCTAGACAGACAAGAGTTGTTACAGTGGATTTTAGAATTACTGGATAAGATTAGGTCTTCTCCTTCAGAAGATGGCATATTGAAGCTTCTATTGCCACTAGCTTTGCAATATTTAGAAGAGTTTATACAATCCGAGTTACTGGCCAGGCGCTTGGCGTATTTGTGTTGCCGTAAACTAGCACATATGTGCAATAATGCTGAAAGCAACAACAATCCTCAAAGTCCGTCCATTGTGAAGAATGAAGTTAATGGTAGCAAGGATACTGCCGCTGCTGCCCAAGGACCATTGAATCCTTTCACAGTTGCTTTCAACGATTATTTGACTTGTGCGCATCACAGAGATGTAATTTACAGTTTATCTACTATAATACAGGTAAAAACAATACATCGCTGTCTTATGGTATGTGATATTAATTTAGTAATGATAAGAATTGATTAAATTAATCACATTGTTTTGTAACTTAAGAAATTTATCCACCTTTTCTATCTTTTTAGGTCATAACGTTAGAGTGTCCCACAGCATTGGTCTGGAATAGCGTTGGTGAGGGAAAGGCTCCATCGGTGTTGAATGGATCACCCTTGGACTATTTACCGTGTCCTCCTGCGGCTTTACCGTGTCCACCTGCAAGTTCCGGTAATCCTGTAATGAAACAGCTGAGGATTGCTCAAGAAAATATAAAAGCTCGATCTCAAGCAGCGGAAGGTAGATGGTCATGCGATAAATGGCAGCAAAGCAGTGCGGGAACGACGACTACTAAAGTGCTAGCTGCACTGGACGCTCTTGACCGACACAGTTTTGATAAAATGGACGCTTCTAATTCGCTTGACACGTTGTACGCAAAAATCTTTACACCACCCCCGAAAGATAACTCGAATGAACGTGACACGAAGACGGAATATAATCCACAACAAGATTCAGCAGTAGTCGAAATTTTGTGCGAGTGGGCTGTGAGCGCCGAACGATGGGGAGAGCACAGAGCAATGGCAGTTGCTAAACTACTTGAGAAGAGACAAAGCGAGGCTACCGGCGAAACTAACGATAACGATGATAAAGATAGTACATGTAGTAATGGAAATCCACCTGTACTTCCAATTTTTCAACCACTACTCATGAAGTTCCTGGACGTAGATGCTCCAGTACTAGACAACACTTCTGCACAATCTAAAGCCCAGTTTACGAATTTAGTTCATCTATTCTCAGAGTTGATAAGGCATGACGTTTTTTCGCATGATGCTTATATGTGCACTCTTATTTCAAGAGGTGATCTTATACAAGGTAAAAGCATAACAATATGCAAGGTAAAAAATATTTATCTAAATGTTATATGTTATATGTTCTTGTTTAATTAATTCTAACTTAATCTAGGCCCAATAGCTAGCAAACCCGGAACACCCAGCAACAGAGAACCGATTGATGAAGATAGTCTCTTCCCGGGTATAGACTTAAAACCGACTAAATTGGAAGTACCAGATCATGGACGTACTATGGATTATGATGATAGTAAAATCGATGATGATTTAGATAAGTTATTACAGCATATTAAAGAAGATCAACAAAATAGCATGGATGCACCAGATAGTCCGAAAGAGGATGCATTAACTGGTCATGGAGGTCACGAAAGTCTTGATTCGAAAATGCCGTCGAGTCATAGTAGACATTTATTATATACCACCCATTTCCCGTTGCCACAAGTAATTTGTTGGGATATTTTTTTCATCAAACGATTTTAGCAAATAATAAATCCAAATTGATCTTTAACCATCACGATATTTTTTAAATATTTTTTATAAGTTTGTTGAAATCGTTTGAATGTAAACTTTACAAATTTATTATTCTATGTAAAATTTATATTTAATTTATCAATATATATATTTATAGGATGAGACGTGTAGCCAGCACGATTGCAATCAACGACATGTATTACTATATGGCGTTGGACGTGTCAGAGATGAGGCTAGACATGTAGTTAAAAAGATGACAAAAGAGGTGTGTAAATTATTTGGCAAGAAATTCAGCATTGATGTTGCGGAGGGAGGGAAAGTGAAGAAGCATTCTCGCAGTGAATTTAATTTTGAAGCTGTCACTATGAAGTTTCAAAATCTAAGTTACTTTGATCAACATGTTGTGACTTGGCAGTGCGCAACACAAGTCATAGAAATGCTCAACACATTTGCGTTAGCTGGCTCATCTTATTTACCAGTTCACGAACATGTCGCTTTTCTTTTTGATTTGATGGAGCTGGCATTAAACATATACGGCCTAATTGACGTTTGTATACAAATTCTGAAAGAGCTGCCAGAAGTAGAGGCACAGTTGACAGTTCGAAACAGTCAATTAATTCGAAGTTATACTACAAACCTGAGTTTGTATGTGGTCGGTGTATTGAGAAGATATCATTGCTGTCTGTTATGTAAGTATATTCATTGCTATCTCATATACATACATATATATATTTCTATTTATTTCACATGCGATTGTAATTGTGTTACAGTATCACCTGAGCAGACAACAGCGGTCTTCGATTTACTGTGTAAAGTAGTGAAACATGTCTCGAATCCGAGTGATTGTAGCTCTGCTGAACGATGTGTGTTAGCACATTTGTATGACTTATATTCAACATGTTCCCTTTTGAAGACAAAATCACATGGAGTGGAAGCCTTTAGTAACGCTTATCCGAAAATTAGGACCGCTCTTTATAGCACCTTGCAACCAACGCCTTCAAATCACATCTATAATTCGCAATTTATGGTTGATGTTTTTACCAGTCCACGAAGAGGCGGAAAAATCGAGCCTCAATGGGCCAGACAGTTAAACGAAACACCTGCCAATCGTTATAGTTTCGTTTGCAACGCGATCGTTGCGGTTTGCAGCGAAACGGATAACGATAAACTGAACGATATTGCTATAACTTGTGCGGAATTGACTGCTTGTTGCAATGCTCTCAATGCTGAGTGGTTGGGAGTACTTATGGCACTCTGTTGTTCCTCCAATAGTTCCGCTTTCTACATCGACGTGTTAAATCAAGTCGATGTACAAGATTTAAGTATACACAATTCCCTGGCTATATTTACATCAATTTTAATTGGTAAGTTTTAATAACCTTACAATTATTATATTACGTATTATGATATTCAATAATTTATTATGTTTACAGCGAGGCATTGTTTCTCTTTGGAAGATTTTGTGGTACACATAGCGCTACCATCCCTAGTGAAAACTTGTAACGATGGACGCGGGGACATTGATATCGAAGCCGAAGCTGGTGCGCGTTTAACGTGTCATTTATTACTGAGACTTTTTAAGACCGTCGAATGTCCGCAGCCGGCTTTATATTCGGTTAGCACGAGTCCTCATCCTCTTCCAAGTGGAAATTCAAGAGGTTACAGTATAAAATTGAGCTGTGATAGGCACTTATTAGCAGCTGCCCACAATAATATAAAAGTAGGACCAGTACTGGCGGTGCTCAAGGCCATATTAGTCGTAGGGGATGCCGCAGCTGCTAAGCAGCCTCCGAAGAAAGTCGATATCCCACTGAGCCATTCTAGCAAGGGAGGTGGTCCGGCCAGTGTCGGAGTCGGAGTTGGCGTGAGCAGCAGCGGGCCCGGCGAATTATCAATCAGCCACATTTTAGGAACTAGTGATATTTTAGGAGGTGGCGACGATCTCGGTCTAGACCTGGCTATGTCCTCATCCAGCAGTAGCGCAGGCATGACGACGGAAAACGTGAAGGGATTTTCCGATTTCGCTCATCATGTTCTGCGTCAGATCTGCAGTCAAGAATGGGTACTAGAAAGGTGTTTGCAAAACCCAGAAGAACTCTGTCATCAAGATATGTTGCTAGACAACATGCTCACGCCACGACAAGCTCAAAAGTTATTGCACATGATCTGCTATCCTGAAACGCCTACCGAAGCCTTTATCGACCAAAAGACTCATATTACGAACATTTTGGAAAACTTGGAGCAGTGGAGTCTGAGAATGTCCTGGTTGGATTTGCAACTTATGTACAAGCAATTTGCGACCGGTTCCAGCGAGCTTTCTCAATGGTTAGACACGGTTGCGAAAGCTGCAATTGATGTCTTTCAATTGAACAACACCTTGAGCAGTAAGCCCGATAAAAGATCTGGTTCTATATGGCTGGTCGCTCCGCTGGTTTCCAAGTTGCCGAGTGCGGTGCAAGGTAGAGTTCTCAAAGTGGCGGGACAGGTACTAGAATCCGGTAATTGGTCGAAAGCGGCGAGTCGTGAGAGAGGTAGATCCAAATCACCTTCGTTATTCAATCATCAACCATTTCTATCACTGGTACTAACGTGTCTGAAGGGCCAGGATGATCAAAGGGAGGGCTTACTGACATCGCTGCATTCGCAACTCTCGCAGTTTCTAAATACCAGCAAGGAGGAGAAACACATCGGCTCCGAAGATCCGAAAACCAGAGAAGTACTGCAGGACGCACTACAATTGAGATTTAGCCTCGTCGGGGGCGTGTTCGACACGATACAGAGAAATACGACCGCCACGACGGATTGGGCGATTCTATTAGTTCAATTGGTCAGCTACGGCGTTATAGATTTGAATAATAATGCGGAACTGTTCACGACTGTTATAGATATGCTTGCAACATTAATCCATTCCACTTTAGTGTCGGATTCGCAATCTGAGAAAGACGAAAATAAAAAGCACTACCAGAATTTAATGAAGAAACTGAAGAAGGAATTAGGTGATAGAAATTCTCCGAGCATTCGATTTGTCAGGCAACTTTTACCGTTACCAAAATTGACCATGGAAGTCATCACATGCGAGCCAGTCGGATGTTTAACCGACACTAAAGGCAACAAAATTGCTGGATTTGACAGCATCGATAAAAAACAGGTATATACATATTTAAATTAGTATTTTTTTTCCGAATAAAAATTAATTCATAAAATGTATAACACGTTGCATTTAAAATTAGGGACTGCAAGTTTGTGATTCTCAAAGAGTGTCAGCATGGGAGCTCTTAGAAGGTCATAAAAATCCTGCACCACTTTCCTGGGCTTGGTTCAGAGCAGTCAGATTGGAGCGTAAGCCGCTTACATATCAGAATGCACATAAACTGCTGCGATACCACACGCACAGTCAAAATCGTTCGGCTAGTCACTATCTGGATCCACCGCCATTGCCACCAGAAGATCTGGAACCAGACAAAAAGGAATCGGAACCTGGCAAAGCGGACACTCCAATGAGCATTGACTCGCCAGGACGAGTTGGCGGCAACGTTGGTAATGCCGGAGTAAATAATACCGGCACTAACGGCAAGGGAAAAGCCATGAAAACCAAGCGACATAACAGACGGACGAAAACTGCTACGCCCACTACGCCTATGACACAACAAATGCAAGTGAGTATAATTACACGATGTAATCACTGTAAAAAAAGTAAAAAATATATCATTAGTTATATTAAAATTTTTTCCTGTACATTCAACAGCAACCACCGTCCCAATTGCAACAAATGGCATTTGGAAATCAACAAGCTCCTGTTGCGCAGCAACCTGGAATGTTTACCGGGCAGCCGCCACAACCTCAGCAACAATGGTACGGCAATCAGCAGACTCACGCACCGGCGCAACAGTACGGATATGGTCAACAGTTGCCGCCTGCACCAGTTACTGGACCGCGCTACGAGAGACCGGGAATGAATAATCAGTCCAAGCAAGCTCTGTCTAACATGTTGCGGCTGCGATTACCGTCCACTCAATTTATGGGCTCGCAACAACAGCCGCCAAACACTACGCCAGTTGCCGGACCAGGCGCGTTTGGAATGCAGAGGCAACAGTTCATCAGACAGCAGCTGAGAGCGCAGCATGGAGCACCCGGCATAAATCCGCAACAGGGCATGTTTGCCGCACAGCAACAACAGCAGCAACAGCAGCAGCAACAACAACAAGGAATGTACGCTGGAATTCAACAAGGTGAGAAAAGAGTTTTAGTAATATTACATCTAAGCGCTAATGTAGTACCGTTCTCTGTTGAAAATCGATGCCTACACAATTTTGTTGAGTGTCTAAATCAATTTCTCTGTGCAGGTATGAATCAAAATTACGCAGGATATGGCGGACAACAAATGATACAGCAGCAGCAGCAACAGCAGCAGCAGCAGACACCGCAACAAACGCAACAGCAGCAGCAGCAGCAGTTGCTTCAACAACAACAGCAGCAGCAGCAACAGGGAATTCTGAATCAACAACAAAGTATGATGTTCCCTGGTCAACAGCAAATGATGGGTCCACAGAGGGCACAGGAATATATGCCACAACAGAGAATGCAACCTGGTGCTGCAAGACCGCCGTATTTACAGGTATGTTAAGTAACTGAAATAACGTTGGAACAATGATCACAATAGACATACAGGTATACTTTATAACAAAGCTCGGCATTAGTTGCACATTTCGGTTTGATTCTTGAGAGGACGCCTCCCGCTCTCCCACTACCGAGCCGCCGATAGCCTTGACTCAGGAGCGTCTGTGTAACAAATAGGCTGATGATGAGCGGGCACCTTTCAGAAAATAAAATTTTCTTCGTTATAGAAATAATATTTATTTTCACTAATTATAATTAAATGTCTTTATTACATTCATTATAATAATTTACCTAGACAATAATATATAATATTTAAAAAATAAAAATAATTAAAATAAATCAAATTATTAAAAAATTTAACTTTTTAATAAAAATTGTATGATTTTTTAATTAGAAATCAATAGCTTTCCACATCAGGGTATCGAGAGATCTTTCAATCTCTCCAGACGGTTTTTCGAAATTCGTAAATTTTTAAAAAAGTTTGGGGTGTGGGGGTTATGGGTCGCCCCACCATTTTTCGTTTGAAACCGAGTACCTAACGTCGATGCGTCTCGTTGAGACAAGCAACTTTGGTCCTATAAACATATAGCGGCCAACGAATAATTACGGAGTTATAGCACTTTTTCGTCGCCGATTTTTTCGTTATCGGGGCCTGTAACTTGGAAAACATAGGAAATAGGAGATCGGACCATAGGATCTTATTGGCAGGGTATCGAGAGATCTTTCAATCCCTCCAAGCGGTTTCTCGAAATTTGTAAATTTTTAAAAAAGTTTGGGGTGTGGGGGTTACATTTAATTATAATTAGTGAAAATAAATATTATTTCTATAACGAAAAAAATTTTATTTTCTGAAAGGTGCCCGCTCATCATCAGCCTATTTGTTCCACAGACGCTCTTGAGTCAAGGCTATCGGCGGCTCGGCCGCCAGCGGCCGCGCGATAGTGGGAGAGCGGGAGGCGTCCTCTCAAAAATTGAGCCAAAATGTACAACTAACGCCGAGCTCTGCTTTATAATAACATTTAATCAATTATGTGTTAAGTATGTATTATGTTTGTATTAAGAAAGATATCTTATTATTCATTTCAGGCACCAAATGTAACAATGAATGCAATGGGACCAATGGGTGGAGGTGTTCAGAATCAGCCTGCTCCTCCCTATCGGCAATCCGCTGGAAAACCAGGTGCAGTAGGAGTGACGGGAGTAGGAACGGCTAATGTCAGTTTGCAACAAAATCAGCAGTTCCAGCAGGTACATTTTTAGAAACAAGTTCAACAATTAGCACAGTATCTCTAAAGAATTTCATGAAATATTATTACTAATTAATTGTTTTTACATAGCAACAGGCGATAAATCAACAACGCATGAGGCAACAAATGTTAGCCATGCAGCAGCAGCAACAAGCCCAGCAGCAGCAGCAGCAGCAGCAGCAAGCTCAACAACAGCAGCAGCAGCAGCAAGCTGGAGCTGGCGGTCAGCAACCAACCCCTCAACTTGTTACGCATTTGCAGAGGCACTTAAGTCAACCACCGCAACATTCCTACCAGCATCAGCCACCACCTTATTAAAAATAGGATGAAAAATTCGGAACTCTAGCATATATTGATTTTACAATACAAGTATAAAATAATCGCAAAACAAATTTATAAAATTCTAGATTTCATATTAAAATTTAAATGACATAATAAGACAGTGGCTGCTACACATCAAAAAAGGAAGAAAGAGTTTTTTATCAGGTTTGCTGAAATTTTTTACCATATTTTACGTACTTTGCGTCGAGACGCTACTACGTTTTTTAATATAATAAATATAGGGAAATTGTGAAATTTTGAGTTGCATTAATTAAAACGTCACGATTACTTTTACTAATTGGTCGTTTTTAGTAATTATAATTATGGTATTTTGACTACATAAATTATTTTTATTTGATCACGCATACGAAGAATACTTTATACAATAAAGATGTTTTGTCAGACGTCAGAAATCATGTTTTAATGATTTTGTTGACTCCGATACGCTTCTGTAATCAAGTGTGTAAGAAATTGTAAACTGCATACATTCTTTTTTTTTTTTTATATATATAAATTCTTCTGAAGTATTATTATTTGTTATTATAGTCTCGAAAATATAATTCTAAGGTATTTATTATAATTATTACTAGTATTAATATTATTGTAGCTTAAAAATTATGGGTGAATATAAAATGTCAACGAACATCATATACAAGTACAAGATCATGTATTATAATTTGTATCACAATGTAAATTTATTGTTACTGTTATCCAACTATTTAAATGGTACTTGTATATCATATTTTTTACATAAAATGTATATCAGCATAAATCATGTATAGTAGAAATAAAGATAAATGTAATGAGTATGTTCAATAAGTAAATTTAACAAAAGTATATTCAACAAGTATACTTAGTAAAAACAATATTCCAATATCAATTAGATCTCGTAGACACAAAATCAAATGAATTGCATAGACGATAATTTCAAATAGAAATAAGTATACTAAACATTTTTAATTCTATTTTTTTCTACCGTACATTTTAATAATTTGATCTTATTTCCAATAAAATGTCATATTAAATGATTTGTTACAATTTATTATTTTGATACCATTGTTCTGATATCTAGAAAAATATTTTGAATTTTATTTTTATATCAAATAATTATTATGATGTCATGGAAGGATAATCTCTCTATTTTTTATTTAAAAAAACAAGCTTAGCTAGAAATCTCCATATTATGGAAAGGAGATGTATCATGTTTAGTAGCATTTTAAGTGACATATCAATTGTTTGGTTATCCTAAATTAGTGGTCTCATTTGTAATTAAATCGAGGATCTTGCTATATTTTCGTAGTGCTAGTACGAAATGTTAAAAATAATGCTTGTTAATACGTAACAATTTTTAAACATTCTGAAATTTTTGTACATTTTTTATCTTTAGATCATCTTTAGATCATTAGATCCAATTATTGTAGTGCCAAATATTGTAATGCCAAATTACTCGACTCTTAAAATTTTATAAAATTTCTGCAGAATAAACAAAAATCTCAACTAGAAAATAACTGCGTGTATTTAAATTAGAATAATATAGAAAAAATTATCAATTTTTTTAGGTTAATATTATTGTAAAATGTTATCGATTGCACAACAATCAATTGTCTAACAGTTTCTACACATTCTTGTAAGATGGAGACAGCATTAAAATTCCCAACTTTTTTAAATCATTATAAACAAATTGAATATATCGATAATTATTATTGCATTGTAAAAATTATTCATGTGTTCTTGGCAGATGTAATATACGTGTGCATAATTTCAGTAAAAGAATTATATAATTACAGCAAATTGATCAAAATATTTAAAGAACTAGAACAATATATTGATATATTTGAACAAAATTTTGTGTATGTGTAGTGTTAAGACTATAGAATTAAATTTTAAAACTTGATTGTTAAATGAAACTTTGTGCGGTACACAATTTGCACACTGCTTGCACGCACGCACGCACACACACACACACATACAAAATTATAGAAGTAATTTATTAAAATAATTTAAATGTACATTTTCAAGTTACAGGTTATTGAAAATAACTGATCTTTTGCTAAATAAACTGTAAATGCAAAAGTAAATGCTACAATACATGTATTTACAATACGTGCGTATTTATATTTCAAATCTGATTGATATACATAATCATGTTTTACAAGTATGCATTACCGACACTTTGTAGATATAGCACATATCGGAACCAAAAAGTCGTGGACGTAGCACGGAAGAGACCCAAAAGATCGTGGACATTGCCTACGGGATTCGTGGACATTGGCTACGTAGTTCAATGTGCACGTTTTGTGCACATAGAAGCGCTAACCCACGGAAACACGTAAAATGCGGGCATATCCACTCTCAGTCTTCTCTCTACTATTACTAAATGATTTGGTAACTATTACCAAATTATTTAGTAATAGTTACCAAACCATTTAGTAATAGTTATTAAATATTTGGTAACTATTACCAAATAATTTGGTAACTATTACCAAATATTTAATAACTATTACCAAATAATTTGGTAACTGTTACTAAATATTTAGAAACTATTATCTAATGGTTTGGTAACTATTACCAAATATTGAGTGACTATTACCAAATGATTTGGTAACTATTACCAAATTATTTAGTAACCATATTTTGGTATATTTAGTAACCATATATTACCATATATTTGGTAACTATTAAGGCATGAAAGATCGATACTCGAATGTATCGAAAGTCTCGAAGTTTATTGAAATGTTGTGTTAAAATTTTAAACACAAATGGGTAAACAAAACAGGCTACCTGAATAACTCTTTTATTTTTAATAATAGAAAAAATGTTTCAGACAAAAGTTGCATTATTTTAAGGGGATCATTACATAATATGTATATTTTTTCTAACTGGAAGCGTTTTGGAGATTTGAAGGCCAACTTTGATTTTTTAAATAAAACATTCTGATTTTTTTAATATAAATTGATTCCTGGAATCAATTTATATTAAAACTTTCAACTAGTTCTAAGGCAATTTAACATTGTAAAGATAGCCACAACGAATAAAAAACAAATATAATAAATACAACATTTCAAATATTAAAAGCTGTTCCAACAATTTTACATTACTACTTTTGGCAAAGTTGTTGCTTTTATATAAAGCAATATACTAAATAAGATTATCGTGTTTTATACAAGTTTATGTGTATGTGCCCGTAATATCAATAACTGCTTTGGTAAGTATGTTATTACAATTTCATATAAATATGTATCACAGTTTTTTATACGAAGAGAGTACAGTTTGAATTTTCCATCAAATCATAGAATAAATTTTTTGGTGTTTCCAATATCTCGATGTTTCACGTATCAAATAAAGTCGAAGCCGTAGAAAGACGGTAGTTAGATCGAAGTGCCTTCGTTTTAACATATTTACTACTTATGATACGTGAAACGAGCGCAAACCTTTATGCCAAAAATCGCGAATGGCAATCTCGTAAATGCAATTGACTGTTGATGCCAGTCCGACTTACATGGTATCTGATTGGAATAGAGCTTGTAGCTTTTGTATGGAGTTTTCGCGGACGCTTCGGAAATCGCAGAAACTACAGAGCATGAAACATCGCGGGCGAATTTGGAGCCTGCTCGCGAAACTTGATAAGCCAGCATAATATTTTTCCTAGATACATCTAGGACGCGGAATCTATAGCTCAGAATCCTATTTCTTCCACGACGCTCCAATTTTTATATTTTATGCGATGGAATGCGACTTGGCGAGATATATTTGATGTGCTATTTAATAAGTCTATCGTTTTCAGTTGCTATTTTCTAACGCAAATAAAACAAGTAAAATGTTGATGATTGTTGGCAGAAAAATAACATGGAGAAGGAAAACAAATAAGTAACACAAATGCAATTTTTTATTTAATAAATATAAATTGTAAGTTTTTCTTTACTGACACTTTAGTTTTGATATTGCGTTAGAATATCACCGGTATACTATACAGTTAATATTAGTTAATATTAACAGAGTTACTAATAAAATAGAAAGTTTGGTAAAGGCAGAAACTTGCACGAGAAATTACGTACCGAACGTTGCTTGATATTAATGAGTCTTTTACCAGTTTCTGAAATCGAGTAACTTGCAGAAATGTACGGTCAGAGTACTAACTATACTTAACTATATGTCGAGGCAGAAGTCCGCGGTTATCTGACTTACTTAGGCCAATTCTTCAATTAAGTCACGGGGGTTTATCTGAAAGTAGAGAGCTTTCACCTATTATCACCCGATTTTATCAAAGTTACGCTCAAAATTAATGAATATTTAAATTGCATATTTTAAACATTAAAAAATGTCTTTCCAACATCTAAAACTTTTTCTTTTCAATCTTTATTATTAGTGCTTTTAGTAAACATTTAAAGTTTCGATATAAATTCATCACAACTTTTATTTAATATTATGCATAATGTAACTCTTTTAATTTTCTTATATCCAACTGTACAAAAAATATCTATAATTATATAATAAAAAACTTTTACTTTATTTTAATAAGGAGAAATTTTTTGAGGATGGCAAATAATTGAAACTGATACAAGTAACAGTTTGATATCGATTTTGTCTTCTTTTTCTTTTTCATCGGTGCTGCGTGCTATATTTCCCGACATTTCTTCCTAGTGCTCGCTTCTACCGCGGTATTATTGCAAAAACGGTTTGTCAGATATTTAAAAAAAAGACGTCACGAGAAAAACGACGGATAAGCGACAGTAGGGGCGGTTACGAAAAGCACCTTAACGAAATTTCGCTCGTACTTGGTTGCATGGCCTGGCAAAGTGACACTCCTCTGACAAGTAATCGAGTTATTCGACGTCTTTCCGGACGCTCGTCTTGCCACCTTCTGTGATCGCTTGCCAGCATTGCTCAGCGATTCATTGATTACTCCACAACTTAAAAAAAGATTCACAGAGCACATAAAAAAAGAGAAATAAACACGAGTGTCAGAGCTGAAACAAGCAAATTTCTCTTTCTACCGAATTTATCACATGATTATCACTTTTCAATTGTTTTCAAATTGTACAAAATATTTGGTATTGATAATATATTGGTAAAATTGAAAGTCAGAATATATCGAAGATTGTAGGGAGCTTGCGATGTCTCTCTTGTGTTCACGCGAAAGATATTAATTATTTGTGATGCTTACTAACAATGTGGGCGAGACGTGTCTTATCTCCGTCATTAGAGATGGCTTCACTAATTGGACAAATCTTTTCGTCAGCCGCAAGATCGAGCATTGAATTTCTAAAGTACTTTGTAAGAGTACAAAGCTACGAAATTTAAGATACTTTTCTGTATATATAAAAAAGATTTTAATATCTAAGAGCTCCAACTTTAATATTAATGTGGAATCTCAGCATATAATTTTGACATCAAATAATTATCGATGCCGAATATATTTTATTTTTCTTCAAGATTCAATTCTTTAATTTGACACTATCATAAATTTATTATATTTTTTATTTCTCTTTCCTACTTGTTTTATTCTTCGCTTGTCTAAATTCGTATTATGTATCGATTAATAAAATTATAGTACAAGG